AAACGGTGCCAAGCTTTTGCTGTGTGTTTGGTAGAATGGAATGACAGGGATCTATAATAAGCTGTCCCCTATGACAAAAATTTCAATTTGTAACTGTACAACAATTATACCATCAGAAGCCCAGAAGCGGCCAGCTTTGACCAATAGGAGAGGAATTGTGTGTCATCAGAGCAACTCCAAAGAGTGACTCGCAAGAAGCTTTTGGAGCTTAGCACCAATGATTATCATCTATTTCTGTCCATGGCGATCAGTTTTGATAAACGGTTGACATAATACGAAGATCGTAAAATTAAAAGATGAAAAAAAGATGAAGCACGATGGTTGCATGAATAACAGTAATGATATGAGAGAAGGATTGAGATTTCAGAATGAAAATACCGATTTAATTCGGGCAATAGTTTTATGGATTCTGCAATATATTACCTGGTTTACACGCCATTCCACTGGGCATATTCTCGCAGAGGCAAAGCACGGAGCATAGATTAATCGGCAGGGAAAGAAGCGAGGCAGCACGTATGATGGCAATTACCATAGCAGCTCCGGCCATATCTGCTCTATGTTCATCTAATGCTGGATCATCACGTTTTAAGTACAGACCACCTGCATCAAAAGTAGTTCCCTTTCCCACTAGCAGAATCGGCTTATCTTCTGAATCACCGCCGCAGTAGTTTATCTCAAGCAGTACAGGCGACTCGCACGAGCCTTTTAATACGTATTTTTATAATATATATTTGAAAATATTCTCACGCTTGCTGTGTTTATATATTGTTTAGTTATAAAATACTAACAGTGAGTGCTACCTATATTATTTTAATCATTTATTATGATGGATGAAGATTTTGGAAGTTAGAATGAAGAATCGATTTATTAAATTATAATATACCTCTGGCAATATGCAGGAAAAGATCCATGTGATTTTTTTCGAGCCAACATCGATCGCGCACATCGACATTAATTCCGCATGGACAGAGCACATCAGCCGCAGCTTGAGCAAACGAGGTTGGCGTCATGGCGTTTGAAGGGGCTTCAGATAAACGGCGAGCAAGATTCTGTGCATCTGCTAGATATAGTCCACGTGTCCAGCCGTCTGTATCGCAGGATTCGAATAGTTCTAATGTTGGAACTATTTTACGGTAACACTTATTCTTGTACTCTTGATATTGCCAAGCCGCCAAAGAAGCGCCTTCTGCTGCTTCTTGAGCATATCCCATGTCTTCTACGGCAATATGGCCCAAATCTTCCTTGCGTAGACGAGTCACACCAGTAGCAGCAGCCACGCGTACATTTTCGCGGCCTAATAATTTCGCCTTTAATTAATATTATGACACGGGAAACATTTCAGACGTTGATATAATACTATACTGAAACTGAATTATAAAGTAAAATTTTTACGTGACTGTGTGTATATCTTTCTTATATATAAAAATGGAGCTCTCTTTCAAATGTCCGAATAAAACTCGAAAACGACTGAATCGATTTGGCCAGTCTTAGTCTTGAAAAATTCGTGCCAATCCAAAGATGGTCGGAAAGGTGAGATAATATTTCAAAATCGCGTAGAAACTTTACATTTTTAATTTGAAATTTTTTATAGAAGCGTAATGTAAATAAAACAATGGACGGTGGCTAATACTTGAATGTCAAACGTTTTTGACAGATGATGTTCGATTATGTTTAATAGGATGTTTTACGTGAATATTATTTAATTATGATTAAATTGTAACAAGTAGTTTTGTTTGTAGTTTTATTTACATACAAAAACGTTAGTAAAAGGGCCGTAATTGTTACTAGAAATACTCAAAATATCAACTTTTTTGAAATATTAATACGAAAATGCACTTTTTGGCATATTTTTCTCAAACACGGTGCTCGGAATGATCTCATTTGTATAATCATATACTCATTGGTATTTATAAAACATTTTCTAGGTTATATTATTTTTTATTTATGTTTTTAAATTCAGAACCTAAATTTGGTATCGATCAAATGGACATTTTCCTAGTTATAATTTCCCAGAATTTATCGAAGAATAGATAGTAATATATGAAGGTCCGGGGTTAAAAAGGTTCACCACCGATGTGTCAAAATCAGTAAAGTTAAGCATTGTTTAACAACAATATTTGAAAGTAGAGGAAAAAGAGCTAAAACCTTGATTTGAAAACGATAATCTTTGAAATGGGGGAGATAAACGGTAATCTTTGAACATCCATAATAAAAGTATTTTCATCCGTTGGTAGTTTTTTAGCATTAGTTAAAAATGTAATTATTTTGTAAAATACATTTAAAATTAAAATAAGACATTAAACCTGTTTGCCACCTGACCGTTCCAAGTTACTTCGCCTATAGGGTAAAAATGTCTAGATCTAGCAAAAAAGCACATTTTTACAATGATGAAGTAGCTGGCAGTTTGACTGAGTGTAGTCAGATAATTGTTCGTTTGAAATGTGTTATTTTGATTTTTATAATTGGTTTGATTTTTATAATATAATTAATATTTGCTCAAAGTCAAATTGGACCTTTGTGTCTCACCCTGTTCTACATATATACTTTTTATTGAACATACTTTAATTTATCGAATGCTACTTGAAACTTTTCAAAAAGCATGTCAAAGAAGAAATACTTAAATCATTTTCTATCTCTCCTCGCAAAAATTTGAAAATTTTGTATAAGCTCGGTAGTATTATTTACAAAAAGAATCTGAAAAACTTGAAATGTAGTCAATAAGTCGAAAGACCAAAAAAGACTTGGATTGGATTATGCCATGTTTTCTATAGAAAGTGTATAAATCTTCCAGTTTGATTGTATTGACAAAATATAGACAAACTAATGGAGTTTATTGTTTTTATAATACCTCATTATATATATCATTCAAATAACACATCATCCTTACACACTTAAAGTATTAATATTTTTGATTCTCTAGGTCTAGAAATTGTTTAGAATATACCTTACTTAGCAAAACAACGTTTGCCGGGTCAGCTAGTATTTTATATATTTTCATCGATTTTAAAAAATATATCTGGGATGAAATATTTGCTTTTTAGAAAGTTTAACTATTTAAAAACATTTCAAACATTAAAACTGTGCAAACCTTCATCAATATTTTCCAGAAGATCGTACCCTGCTCCTTCTTTACCAATTTCTACCACACACACAGAGAAAAATTCAGGATCAAGGTTGTTAAATACATTGCCTTTGCCTTTGCCTTTGTACGTGTCGCCCACCTCACGAATCATCTCGCAGAGGCGGCCGCCTACGCGCTCGTTAAATCGTTCAGCGGTCGGCGTTAATTTTGGATCTTCGCCCTCTGAACGATATACTCCTAGAACTAGTCCTTTTTTTGGACACGAATCCGAAAATCGTCGTGCAAGTAGTCTGCTTTATAAAAATAATATTTAATTTGTTTAATTTGTTTATAGGTACATTGTACATTTCATATTTCATAAACTTGCTACTTCGAATTCATGCAAATGAAAAACTTGTGCACATATTAATTTGTTACCTCAACAAGATAGTTTACGGCTTGCATTAATCATTCTTTTTAAAATTCTATTTATATAATTAACAAAAGTCTTACCTTCGGGAAATGGAAGACAGCAACGCATATTTTCGCAATGCACTTAGATTTTTTGTCAGAGACATTATGAAATTTGGCTATAAACTGATACAAATGTTTGCCACTTAAGATAATATAATTTTATAAAAAAATATTTTTTAAAAAATATAAAATTCTAATCGAGAAAAATAAAACATAGCGAAAAATAAAACAATCTAAACGTCAGTAATATAATATATGGCTTCCTTTGATAATTTAAAATTAATTATTAATTTACAATGACTTTTGTAATTTATGCATAGACTAACTACATGTAGTATAAGGTCTATGACTTTATATTTTTATCAACTTTCCGTAGGGTAGTTATAGTAATGGGCCAAAAATCGAAAATGAAAAATTTTGCATTTCTCGACGTTTTGAAGGTTTCTGAACATTTTAGCATACATTTTCAGGCGCACGGATCAGCCGATTTAAATGGTTCAAAAAACATTCGATTCCCATTGTTAGGGAGATGTACTGATTAGTTTTTTGCAAAGGCAGGTCTAGCCGTTACGGAGATACGGAACAATAAATGCAGAAAATGCAAATCGAGTTTTTGAAAGAACGGAGTATCCGATCTAAATGATCTAAAAAACATTCAATTTATAATAATTGGGAGAAGAGGTAGTTAGTTTTTAGTAAAGGCAGGTCCAGCCATTTCAAAGATACAGAGCTAAATGTGCAAAAAAGGCAGTTTTTGAGAGAACTAAGCGTTTGATTTGAATTATTCAAAGAACTTTCTGCTTGTTTCAACAAAATAATTGCTTTTGGAGAAAATTTTTTTTTGTTTCTAATTTTTTTTTGTATGTCGAAAATAATTCAGATTTTAATTTTAATTCTGTTCTAATATACTTTAAACAAATAATTTCAACTTTACAATTCAGTTTATATAATTCTTATAAATATTAAACAATGTTACAATATTTATAAAAATCTATTTGAAAACATACAATATTATTCGATCATTACGTTACGGTACAGGAAGTTCCAGCAATTTGCCTTAAGGCACGATGCCATACACTACTATTTTTTATGTTACAACTGTTAAATAACATTGAGTATTAGGGTCCGATGCCGTAATTAAAATACATAATAAATTTAAAGGCTAATATATTGCTATTATGATTTGTTGTAACATAAAAAATGCACCAGTAATTAGTGAAAATAAACAGCATTTCCTTATCTATGAAACATTTCCTTATCTATGATAAACAGTAATAAAATATTAATAACTTATTACAGAAAATAATGAAAATGTTTGGAAATTCTTTTTTGATATTATTGTAGGGCATTATGGTTTTGGTGTGATTGGGCGTGCTTCTGAAAATTCCTAAATATTAATAAAAGCTATTGGAATTAATAATATTTTTGCTTGTAATTCTCTGACGATCCGTTTGCGAGTTTTGGTATCCCTTCGTTGTTTGAAAAGTATGGTCATTATTTTCAATTTTCTATAAAATTTGCTTAGCGTTCAACCAAATCGTTTTAAGTACAACAAAATAAAAAAAGTTTCATGCTTCTATAAATAACGTTTATTTTTTATTCACATTACAGTTGTTTTAATGCAACATTATGCTTATAATTGTAAAATAAAATTCTACAATAAAGCGACAAAAGTGCATAGAAAATGAAATAGCTTTCAACTATAAAGATAAAAGCAGATGTGTAGTTTATAGATTGCAAGCTTCAGCATGTTACATTTTGGAATATAAAAATGAAAATAACGTGCAAGAAAAGTTTATATATACATATATATATATATATACATACATATATATATATATATATATATATATATACATATGCATATATATATATGTATATATATATATATATATATATATATATATAGACAGATATGCACACAGTATTACTAACACACACTTGTCGCACATTACATGTCATATCTATACAAGCGCAGACACATACACAGAAACACAAAAATATATTCTCATACACTTATATATATGTATATATAAATACATATTTATATGTATGTATATATGACCTATAATTTGAAGCAATGAGATTGCTTATTAGATTTATAATTATTTGTTAACACATTTCTAATACCAGCTGCATTTTGCATTTGTTAATTTATATAATTATAAGTAAGCTGTCATAATTGCAAAATATAAAATAATAGTGCTCAAATAAAAAAATGTGTAGTGCAATTATATAACAAAGAAACCACAGTTCATTTTTCTTTTTTAGTAGGTAGAGTCGAGCACTACGATTCATGCCACTTCCGTCAATGTTTGTGATATAAAAATCAATACAGCAGCAAATCAGATTTAAATTTTTATACTTTTAAACTTTTCGCAAAACTTCGACAGTACTGACAAGGTCTTTGGAATTTAAAATCAGTCGATTAACAAAACGGATCTACATGAATCAGTGTGCAAAGTATCAGATCGTTTGTGGAGTTTTAAAGTGTGCTGCTTATCCGTTTCTTTCCGTTGTAGATGGCAACGTGGCGAGGTAATCGAGCGCTTTCTGGATCTCTGGTGGAATTGGAGGAGGTGTTGGCAGATGGGCGCCCTGCGGTACGAAGCCCAAGACGTCGTCAGCAACGTAGTTTAGCTGGATTGGCGTGCCGTCGGGTGATGTGTAGCTGAAGGCTCCTTGGACAACCACTACGTCGCCGCCTTGCGGATCAGATGAGCGTTTCAAGTTACCCTAATACATTTCACAAATGGAAACAGTCAAGGTAAAGTAACAAAAATATGAAACTTCAAAATTATTTGTATTTACGAAAAGTATAGTTTGGTATAGGTTTGGTTAATATGGAACAATTATGAAATAAATTAAATTTGAAGTAGAGATTTCCTCTCTATAGAGAATTGGTTAAGTAAGATCCTAAAGACTGTAGGAGTATTGCAGTGGCAATGTTAACCTACTTGTTCATCGCTTTTGATTCCATTAGAAGTCTCATAGCTGCTTATATAACTACCGTCAGGCTGCAGGTCAAAGTTTTGTCGTATTATTGTTGCTTGAGACTCGTCTCCTCCACCGCCCCGCTGTGGGGCCGCTAACACCGAAACCAAAATACTGCATAATATTACCTTAAAAGGAAATTTGTTGAAATTAATTAATTGTTACAAATTTATAATATATATATATATATATATATATATATATATATACTAGCTGACCCGGCAAATGTTGTTTTGCTAAGTAAAGTATATTCTAAACAATTTCTAGAGAATCAAAAAAAAAAAGTACTTTAAGTGTATAAGGATGTGTTGTTTGGATGCTATATACAATGCGGTATTATAAAAACAATAAATCCATTATCTATATTTTGTCAATACAATCAAACTGGAAGTTTTATACACTTTCTATAGAAAACATGGTATAATCCAATCCAAGTCTTTTTTGGTCATTCGACTTATTGATTACGTTTCAAGTTTTTCAGATTCTTTTTGCATTCTGTGTTTTGTGTATAATTGTAAATAATACTACTGAGCTTATACAATATTTTCAAATTTCTGCGAGGAGAGATAGAAAATGAATTGAGTATTTATTCTTTGACCTACTTTTTGAAAAGTTTCAAGTAACTAGCTACTTCATCATTGTAGAAATGTGCTTTTTTCACGTCTTTCAAAAATTTGTTATCTAGACCTTTTTACCCCATAGACGGGGTAACTTCGAACGGCCAGTTTTTGTGTATAAATAAAAGGCAAAGCTGTAAACAATAAAAATTAGTAAACTAATAGTGTATGGCAACGTGCCTAAAGGCAAATTGTTAGAACTTCCTGCAGCGTAACGAAATGTTCGAGAAATATTAAATGTTTTCAAATAGATTATTATAAATAATGATGTTACATTGTCTAATATTTATAAGAATTACATATACTGAATTATAAAGTTTAAATTATTCATTTAAAGTATGTAAGTGAGCTTAAAAATTTCAGCCAGAATTAAAATTAAATTTGAATCATTTTCGATGTACAAAAAAAAAATTGAAAAATGTTTTTTGAACCATTCAAATCGGTTGATCTGTGCGCCCAAAGACGTGGGCAACAAATTGTGGACATACAAAACACACACATCTATTTCATCTGAGGTATGCCAAAATGTTCAGAAACCTTCAAAACAAGGTGACAATTTAAACTAGTGGGGCGCATGGCATCGTGCTTTAAGGCAAATTGCTGGAACTTCCCGTACGAAAAATTCTGTGCATTTTTCTCCATAATTAACGGACGTGTGGTTACTTTAATTCATTTTCAAATGAAAACAAAGTAGGGTAATTTAAAGATGGTTTAATTTCATAGTGCTATAGGGTTTCATTAATTAAGAATACCAAATTTATATTCCACTAAATGAAGGCTTGTATGGATTTAAAATAAATTAAAAAAAGCATTTATACAATTTTATTGATATAACGCCTATTTTTTAAACCAAACTAATATATATATATATATATATATATATATATATATATATATATGTATGTACATATATATATATATATATATATATATATATATATTATTTTTAAAAACTGATCATTTGAACAAAAACACTGAAACAAAAAATATGCTTATAATATCAATATTCTACAGCAGTTATATTAATTTAATTAAAATTGTATTGTATTACAAACGTTCTTTCATATTTTTTATTAAGTATGTCGTTAAATTGTATCCAAAATGTTTACAATAAACACTTTATCACATGGGTGGCTCCCAAAATTACATTTGAAGATATTAATCGTCTTTTACGTTTGCGAGTGATTATGATCCGCCAACAAAGAAATTAAAAGTACAATTGAAGAATTAATAATAGCAACAATAGTTGTTTGACTTTTAATTTACTTGCGAACACATGTATTTAGCACGTCGAAAGTTTTGTGTTTTGCCTTGTGTATGTAACAATAAGTAACACGAGGATTCGACTTTATTTGCACACAATAATGAGACGGCGAAGATTTATTTAAGTATAGTTAAAGAAGTTTTTTAATGTGAGCTATAGAATCTTCGTTTGTTGTATAGTCGTATGCTCGTATTTAGTATCTAAACACTCTTCTGATTTTGAATTTTCA